CAGGTGGATGCTGGGATTGAACCCTGGCCCTCTGCCAGAGCAGCAAGTGTTCTTAATCCATGAGCCATCTCTCCAGCCCCCTAAGTGTGATGCTGGGGCTGCTGGGGCTGCTGGGGCTGCTGGGGCTGCTGGGGCTGCTGGGGCTGCTGGGGCTGCTGGGGCTGCTGGGGCTGCTGGGGCTGCTGGAGCTGCTGGAGCTTCTTCTTCTTCTTCTTCTTCTTCTTCTTCTTCTTCTTCTTCTTCTTTCTTCTCCTCCTCCTCTTCCTCCTTCCTCCTTCCTCCTCCTTCCTTCTCCTCCTCCTCCTCTAGACAGAATCTCAGGTAGTCCCTACTGACTTCATATTCACCAGGTAACCAAGTAACTTAGAAATTCTGATCTCTTGCCTCTACTCCCAAGTGTTGACTTTCGCGGATGAGCTACCCACACCCAGTTTTATGCAGTGTTGGGTGCAGAAGTTGGGGATGCTTGCATGCCATGCAGGCATGCTATCAACCGAGCTGCTTATATGGTCAGCCTCTGTAATAAATGGCTGAGGTGCTCAATATACTCTTCCTTAGTTTCTGCCCTTGACTTTTGCTATTCCAGTCAGGCTGGAGTGTTCAGGGGGTCTGGGGGATGCCTAAGTATGGAGACTCTTCTGTCCCTTCATGAGGCTCTGATTATGAAGGCCTCATCTCTGAGAAAGCCAGCTACAGAAACCCTGCTGAAAATGCCTTTAAGAACAAAAGAATCCTTCTACTAAGAACAAATGGAATCTTGGTTTTGCAGAATGCAGTACCATAGGCCATAGGTGATAGAAAATTAGAGTGGGTGTTATCAGACAGTTCCTGTCTAACTTTGTTTATAGCTAAATTTCCACAATGGAGTTCTTAAGAGTTAAATTGATTTATTTGCAAAGTGAAGGCACAAAGAGACGAAGGCCTGCTATGTTTGTGGTGTTTGAAAATGGAGATGTCCTTTTTTCAAACATCTGAGTTGATCTTTTTGGAATACCTTTGTATTGATCCTTTGACAGTCCCACACATGTACCCTGAATCTTGATGATACCCTCCGCCGCACCCCCTGCCACTCCCTCCAGACAGCCCTCAGTGGGTCCCTCCCACCTTCATTCCCTCCTCTTACTGCTGTCTCCTATTGGGTCCAGTTAGCGCGCTGCCTACTGGGAAGATTCGCAGTCCTGGTTGGCTCCGTGTTGTCCTGGCAACCACAGCCTCAGGGAGTACCTGAGTGCAATGGCCACGCTGTGTCCGGAAGACAGCATTTCTCAGTGCTCCTCCCCATCAACGGGCGCTCGCATCCGTTCTGCCTCTTCCCCCGGATATGGGGCGAGCCTTGGGGGATTGATGGAGACGCCTCGTTTGGGGCTGAGCATTCAGGGTCACTTACTCTCCACACTCTGCCCGGCTGTGAGTCTCTGCATAGCAACCCACAGGAGAAGCGGGTTCCTCTAGCCAAGGCCAAGAGCCGCACTAATCTCTGGGTAAAAACATAAATATCAGAAGGCAGTTTGGCAACACGTATGAACACAGGGACATCTTTAAGCCTAATCCATCATTGCCATGTGGGTTTCAAGGTGCCAAATGTTTCTGAAAATTTCCCTTTCTGCCCTCCCATGAGTCTAACTTCATCCTTGCCCTTCTCCTTCTCTCCTCCCTTACCGTTAGCCCAAGTCCTCATGAACTTAAACAAGTCTCTTCCTGTCCCTAAAGGAGTGTGTTGTTACTTCAGGCAGAAAGGGTTTATTTTGCCAGGCAGTGGCGGGGAAGTCGTGGAGGTAAGGTGAGGCAGCAGCTGGTTACATTGTAGCTGTGATGGGGAAGCAAAGAAAGATGAACAGGAAGTAGGGCTCCACTCTAAGCCCTCAAGGCCCGCCCCCCAGGGACCTACTTCCTCCAGCAAGGCTCTAATGCCTAAAGGTTCCGGTGCCTTCCCAGACAGTACCACCATCTGGAGTCCAAGTGTTCAGTAGGTGAGTCTGTGGTAGACACCTCCCATTCAAACCAAACAGCAGCCAGTGTCTGGAGAATGAGGCTAACAGTAGCAACACAGTGAGGATTATATTTGACAGCGAACAGAAGTCTCCAACACAGCCCACGCCCCGGGCTCAAACGCCCACAGAGGCTGGGGTGGTGGCTCAGCAGGTAAGGCATTTTCCATACAGGCACAGGGACCAGAGTTCAGATCTCCAGGACTCGGGTAAATTCCGGGTAGGAATGGAAGCCCACCTGTAGTCAAATCACTCTGTGGGGAAGGGAGCCCCAGAACAAGGCAGCCATGCTAGCCATATCCAAGGCCTGGGCTTAGTTGAGAGACCCTGCCTCAGTGAATAAGACTCAGAATGAGGAGAACTCCTGACATCAAGCTCCAGGCACATACATACACACACACACACACACACACACACACACACACACACAAACACACACAGCACATAAATATGCATTTAAAAAAAACCCAGAGAAGTTAGGAAGGGAATTAAAAAAGAACAAACGTGACCAGGAAGACCAGAAAACCATGTGGCCCTCTTGGCTTTGCGCCTGTTGGTAAGCCTACAGTCAGAATCGCAAGCAAAACTTAGCCACCATTGGTAAGTGTAACAATCAGGATTATAAGAAAAATGCTATCCTGCAAGGAGAAAAGCAAACACTATAACTGTCATAAGAGATCTGTGTTCATCAATGAGACTCAGCCTCTGCTGCAGGATATTTGATCACACTGTGAACCCCCAGACTGCGCTCATGCCTCCCCCAAAAGAGTCACCTATTGAGCCATGGGGATCAACCGAATGGTCACAAGATTTGGCTAATGCATGGTTTACTGATGGTTTGTAAACCAATGATGGGACCAAAGCTAATGGAAGGCGGCAGCCTCTAGACCAGGGGATGGAATGGCCAGTACTGAGGAAAGAACCACAATCAGCACAGTACTATTGGCTATAAGACAAACCACCAGGAACGCAAAAGGAAAGTTTCTATCTTCTCCAAATCATGGTGCACGTGCAATGGTATTGCCATACTGGTCATCAGAATGGAAAACCGCTCACTGGCAGATCAATGGCAAAGATATCTGGTCGTGGGAGGCATGAATGGAAATGGCATAACCTAGCAAAACTTAGCAAAGACATCAAAATCTATGTAGCTCATACAAGCCAGACAGACAAAACATCTGAAAATAATGAAATAGTGGACAAATCGGCATCATGTCTAACTAAGACTAGATTATTAAAATTTGCCAGGAAATAAATTCAGAATAAATCGGCAAGAATGATAGATTACACATTCAGAATACTTGAAAGTTTACCCCTAACACTAAAAAATAAGGGGAAATAGAGAACCAAATTAAACCAGGATAGCCCTATAAGAATAACCACGATAAGGAATCCATAGCCAGGCGGTGGTTCACACCTTTAATCCCAACACTTGGGAGGCAGAGGCCAACACATAAGAATTACAGTGATTTAAATTTAAAAGCTGTGCTTACAAAAGACTACGATTCAAAACAAACATCCTTTGTAATCTAAAAATAAATACATTTTAACCTTGAAGTTATATATAAAGAGAAAGGGGATATGGGTATATTTATCCACACATTCTCAGGTATATTTAGTTTCAAATTTAAAAAAATTTAATTGAAAGATACTTTTTCTGTTGCCAAAAAGCATTTTGCCCTAGGAAAGATATAACCTGCCAAAAAAGGAACCCCCAGAATTAGGGTCGGGGCAGAGTTTTGCTTTTATCTTTCCAAGAAAATAAAAACATCCAACTAAGGACTCCAGAGACCACTGGACAAGTGAAACATCTAAAGAAAAAGGATCAAGAGAAAATGTCCCAAGAAAAAGAGCAAATTGGCCAAGTGTTGTCTCCCGGCTCCAGCTGACTGGCCTGAAAATCCCAGCTTGGAGCCCCAGGCCAGCACCAGTACCCATGCAGCCATCTTGCCCGAGCACTGCCCCTTCCTGTGGACACCCCCCCCCCCATGTTCTGCTCAAACGGTGGACACCTTTGGTTTGACTGTTGTATTCTACCCCGCCAGGATTTCCACTAAGCTAACAAACACCACCCAAAGACCAGCTTCGGACTACAAACTGCTCCGAACATTCAAATTGCTGAGTTCCTATGAGACTGACACAGACATTTTACAGAACTTTGAACTCAAAAATACTTCATGCTAAGACTGCCAAATACAACCGAGCTGGACATTGTAGAAAGCTTGGCAAAAATAGCTTCATTATTGTAAATGGTTTTACTGTGTTAGAGTTAAAAAACTTTCCTTTTATTTAGACAAAGGCGGGGAGGATGTTGCAGGGTATTTGATCACATTGTGAACCCCGAGATTGTGTTATTTACTGGCTCCTGAGTCTTTATTGGTAGAATCTAATGACTGAGATTTACTTTAAAGCAACAGGCCTCGCTGTGGAGGAATGATGGACAGTGTGTGGGGACAGGGACTGATCAGAGCTTTCAAACCCCTGGAAAGGGAGGCGCCCCTCTGAGTACCTGCTGCCTACATTCTGGGAGAATGTAGGGCCAGTGTTCACTGTTAACATGCCTTCCTATTGTACAAGAAAAGCCAAGATTCTCATTTTTTTTTAATGTGAAATCTCCCAATTCTTAAATTTAGGCTTCATTATATCAAAAAAAAAAAAAAAACACTACAAAAGCCAAACTAAGCTCATCCATGGACTGAAGGCCTCTCCCCTCAGCAATGGCACAATTACGTGAAGTAGTTTCCCTCCCTCATGCCGGAGTCTCCCCTTGCTGTCTTGTCCCTCTGTTTCACATCCTTTTCTCCCAGCCACCCCCACCCATCCTTCCTTTTTTCCCAAGTCTACATAGAAGGAAATCCTTTGAGGTGAGGGAGTGATCACGCCAGAGGTAGTGTGCTCGCAAACCCCGTGCAGACCCCAGGGCCATTAGAGGAGTGAGTGACTTGGGTTCTCAAACTGTTTCCTTGTGCACGCCCTGCGCTTACCAGAGAAACTGCTCGTTTGTCTCCACAGCCTTGCGAAGTCGCTCTGGCCGCTCCATCATCAACGGGAACTGGGCGATCGACCGCCCGGGGAAGTATGAGGGCGGAGGGACAATGTTCACCTACAAGCGACCCAATGAGATCTCCAGCACTGCTGGGGAGTCCTTTCTGGCTGAAGGTCCCACCAATGAGATCCTGGATGTCTATGTGAGTTTGGGTGTTTGCAGGGGTGGGGGGGTGGGGGTGGGGGGTGCCCTCTGGACTTGGGATCCTATCACTCTGAACAAATAAACCACATGTCTTGGCCCAGGCTTGATAAAAATCACTTGAGTGGAGCCTGTTTGAGGGACCCCTTTCAATGCTTGGCATTGGTCTTCGACATTTACCCCTGAATGTACAAGACTCACAGAAACCATCAAGTCTACCAGGTGCTTTCTTACCCTCGGAGTTTATGGACCCAGTAAAACCAATTTTACTTGTTGAACCGAAGCAGTGCAAACAAATGCCCTGTTTCCCGAGCCCTGGAGCCCCTCCAGGCTCTTGCCTCTCACTGCTAATCTGGCGTGTTTTCTTCTATGGCAGCAGAAAGAAAATGCCAAGTGCAAAGCAGTCCACTCTAGGCCCAGCCTTCTCAACCCCACCAAGGCAAATGGAGAAGAAACACCCGCGGGGACCCCGGATGACCCGATGAAGCTTTAGCTGCACACACATGCTCTGCTTCATACAGACAGGGCTGCGATCACTGTACTTGAAGCCAGAAAATTAATGTTAAAGAGTTGTCTCTAATGATCTTTAAAAAAAAAAAAAAAAAAACTACTAGAGGGACCTGGGGAGCTTACTCTGTCTATAAAGTGCCCGTCTTGTAAGCACGAGAACCTGAGTTCCAGTCTCAACAGCCGTGTCAAAGATGGGTGTGGTACCATATGCCTGTAATCCCGGGATGTGGAGGCAGAGACAGGAACATCGATGGGACTCGCTGGCCGGCCAGCCAAGCCTAAGAGTGAGCCCGAGGTCCCAGTCAGAGACCTTGTCTCAAACAGTGAGGGGGGGTCGGCTCCTGAGTCATGACACCCAAGGTTGACCTTTGACCTCCACGTGCACACATACACATGGATGCACACACACAGGAAGCTGCTAGAATCCAGTTTTCTGAAAAGATGAGGAACTAAAAGGTGACAAGAAACAAAAATAAATACACAAATGTCCACTGTCCTCAGAGCCGTGCTGGTCTCTAATATCTGCTGTGTTGGGTCTCAGAAATAGCGTTCATTGTGATTGGTCCTGCAGCTTCTACAGTTCTGGTCTGCTCCTCTTAAGGGATAGTGGGCTAAAAGTTACAAAAGACGCCTTGTTTTAGTTAATTTGGGGTGTTTTTTGTAAGTCATCTACTTGGTTGGCTGGCTCTGGGTAAATTTGAATGGTATCAGAGGGGAAGGCTCCTCCGGGGAGAGCCTCCTGTGGGTGGTCTAGGAAGGGCGGCCAACAATAACCCCATAAACAGCATTTGGCTTTCAGTGGCCAAACCCAGGGTGTTTCCTCATACAGAAGAGGCACAGGGGAGGGCCAGAGGATAAACGGGGTGTGCAAAGGGAATTAAGGGGGTTGGAGCAGGCACCAAGATCCTGCAGCCACGTAGCTGTGTCCCTCAGGGGTCCGGTGCTCAGGGTCATGTTTCTGCAATGCCAGTGAGCTGGTCTTGTGCTGTGAGGAGGCGAGTGCTTCTCACATCTGCCTGCCTCTGGACCAGTGATGGGGGGAGCCCATTTCACTAGTAGGGAGCAGGAAAGAGATATGCAGGGCTCAGTGCAGGGTAACAAGACTTCAAAATTGGTCATTCTGCTCTGTCTTCCTGATGAAGAAATTAAAACTAGGGATCCAGAGACTGGCTCTGGGTTGTACAGCTGGTCAGCAAGAGCCACTTTCCAGAGCAGAAATATCAACAAGGCAATGTCCCCTTGCTTGGCTCCCAATTATAGTGTAGATTTGAGTGCTGTGACTCCAGTCCGCCCGTCCCCCTGCCTCCTACCGTCACAGCTGTGAACACAGGAAGGGCTGGTAGACACGGATTAATTCGGTTGGCCTCCCTCACTTACCTTGGGCCTCTGTTCCAGACCTCTGTAGCCCACGGAGCTTCCTGCTGGCCATCCTACTTACTTTTATTTTTGATTGGTTGTTTGTTTTTATTGTTGTCTCCTCGAAGAACACGACCGAGGCAGACTTACATTTTTCATATGTGAGAATTTTTATTTTTTATTTGTTTGGGGTTTTTTGTTGTTATTGTTGTTTTTGTTTGTTTGATCTGGGTTTTGGGTTTCCACTCCATGTCATTATAGTTCTGAGGCTCTCTGTGTGTGAAAGTGAGTGAGACTCAGGGAACCTACAAGAGAAAGGACTGAGGACCAGCCAGCCTTACTGGCCTGGAGGGGTTAAAGGGCCCTTGTTATTCTAGGCCCATCTGCTCCTTGTTCGCTTGACTCTGTGTCACCACCTAGTGCTCAAATAGGGGACATTTAGAGGCCACAGGTCCAAGCCCTGGCTGAGGATGGCTGCCAGCCACAGCTTCTCCTACCATAGACTCTGTCCAATTTGACTTTATAAAACCCTGACTTTTTTTCTTTTCTTTTCTTTTTGGTTTTTAGAGACAGGGTTTCTCTGTGTAGTTTTGGTGCCTGTCCTGGATCTCACTCTGTAGACCAGGCTGGGCTCAAACTCATAGAGATCCACCTGCCTCTGCCTCCTGAGTGCTGGGATTAAAGGTGTGTGCCACCACCACCCGGCTTAAAACCCTGACTTTTGTGCTGACAGAATCTTGACTGTTCACTCTCTTTTCTTCTGATTCACAAACACATTAAGTCTTTAATTCTTCAGAACAGCCCATAAGAAGTCACTGGAAGTAACTTCATATACCATGCTACAGGTTTATTGTGTAATAGATGAGAACTTGCACATTTAACTACAGGACCACTTACGTTATTGAGATCCAAGCCAGAAGGAAACTGGGATATGTGTGGGCTGTGGTGACTTTGACTTTGTGTCCTCAGATGATACACCAGCAGCCCAACCCAGGAGTCCACTATGAGTATGTGATCATGGGGAACAATGCCATCAGCCCACAGGTGCCACCCCACAGGAGACCAGGTAAGGTCCCTTACCTTTCCACCGAGTATTCTGAGTCACTTTCTCTTAAAATGACTCTCTCTCTCTGTCTCTCTCTCTCTGTCTCTGTCTCTCTCTGTCTCTGTCTCTCTCTCTGTCTCTCTCTGTCTCTCTCTCTGTCTCTCTCTCTGTCTCTCTCTCTGTCTCTCTCTGTCTCTCTCTCTCTCTCTCTCTCTGTCTCTCTCTCTCTCTCTCTCTCTCTCTCTCTCTCTCTCTCCTTTACCCTCTGTATCCTGAACAATGCAGAGAAACCCCATGGACACATATTTCAAGTTAGTAGACTCAGTATCAGAACATTTTTCTCCATGTGAGTCTCACTGATAGGATATTTCATTCACTTGATCCTAAGCCAAAGTTAGACATCCTGATCCCACATCTGGGATGAGTACATCAGCTTCCTATTGCTGCTGTAGCAAATGGCCTTCCAACTAGTATCTTAGAATAAGATGAAGATATTTGTCTTACAGTTCTGAAGGTCAGAGGTTGGAAAGGGTTTCATGAGGCCAAGACCAAAGTGCTACAGTCAGAATCCACTTCTCTCCTGTTTCAGCTTCTAGAAACCTCAGTCTCCATGGCCTCTGACCCCTTCCTCCACCTCCAAAGCCAACATGGTACACATTTCAAATCTTGCTCCCACTTGGGCTCTGTGCATGGTACCATCTCCTCTGATTCTCAGGCACCCATCTCTTTCCTTTATAAGGACCCCTGAGAATACCTCGGGCCCTGGTACTCTGTGTCTTCTGCCCACCTAAAGCTGCTCTAAAATTAGCATCAGGGCTGTACACCCAGTAAGGGAAGGACCAGAGTTCACATCTCCAGAACCAACTTGATGGCCAGGTGGGTGCGGCAGCCACTCAGGAGGTGGAGACAGAGGACCCCAGCACAGGCAGGATGGCTGGATTGGCTGCCAACAGTGAGCTCTGGGTTCAGTTGCAAGACCTTGCCTTGAATACGGCAGAGAGAAATCAAGGAAGACTCTTGATTGTAACCGCAGGCCTGCACATGTATGTTCAATGCACTCTAACATTTGCACATTCACATGCATGTAAACAGAGGTATACATATGTATGCATACATACACTAAGAGAAAAAAGTAATAGTAACATCAATTAAAACAAAACAAAAAGCATCCGCCTTCAACTCCCTTTTCCTCCTTCCATCTCTTAACAGTGCGATGAATTCTGCCCTGCCCTTCTCTGTTCAAACACAGTCGTGTCTGCAGAAAAGTTGAGCATTTGTCTACATATCAAATATCACTGTTTTCAGTTAGTCAACTCAAATCCAACCTGAACATCCCCCTTTGCTGAAGTCGGCAGAAATCCCCTCTCAGTCAGCCCAGAGGCTATACACATATGACGGGCGTCCATGTACACACATGTGTGCAACAAGCATAAGGAAAAGCCCTGGAACCTAGGATGGGCCAAAGCACCACTGGACCCCCCCACCCCGCCTCCCCCCTCCCTCTGCACTGACTCCACTGAGGTGCTCATAGGAGGAGCCTCATGGAACCCTCCAACTTGTGCTGGGGGCAAAGAACACAGGATGGGACTGAGAGTTGACCCCCATTTCACCCCGATGTGGTCCTGCTCCAAGGACATTGTGTGTTTTCATAGGAGAGAGTTTCACTATGAGTGAAGTTGAGAGGTTTGGGGCTGTTTGTTTGCTTGTGGGGGAGGGACCATCTTCCCATGGCCTTTGACATTGTCTTATTGATCTTTTTACACATTTTTTATATGTATGAGTGTTTTGTTGTATGCCACATGTGTGCCTGGTGCCCCCAGGAGGTCAGAAGAGGGTGTTGGATCCCCTGGAACTGGAGTTATAGACAGTTGGGTGCCACCATGTGGGTGCTGGGAGTTGAACCTGGGTCCTCTACAAGAGCAGCCAGTGCTTCTAACATCTGAGCCATCTCTGCTTCTTACTGATTTTTAATAATGTTGTAAATATGAGAGAAGTACTCCTGTGATTTCAAATGAACTTGTGTTGCATTCTGTCCAGCAGCAAAGCCATCTCCTTTTTCAAATCAGTGTCCAAAGGAATCTCACGTGTCTGTGTGCCTCTCCTAGGAGAGCCTGTCAATGGGCAGCTGGAGGCCGAAGACAGGAGCCCGGAGGACAGAGAAGAGAGGGAGAAGAACCAGGAGAAGGAAGACTCACATGGCGAGGCCCCTGAGGTATTGACGTCAGAATCCTCGCACACACAGACCTTCCCCGTCAGGCATCCTGACAGATTCCCTTCCCACCGACCAGACAACTTGGTGCCACCAGCCCCACAGACCCCCAGGCGAAGCCGGGACCACAACTGGAAGCAGCTGGGGACGACAGACTGCTCCACCACCTGTGGGAAAGGTAAGCCTGTGTGGAAAGCCCAAGCAGGGCAGATGAGGGAGGGCCCAGCTGTTGGGGCAGCCCCTCACCACATAAATCACGTGCAAGATGGCTTGCTCTTGTACACTGTCGTGCCCAGATCGCGACCCCCCTGAGAAACCACCGAAGATGAGCATACCTGAATGCAAAAGCAAGGCTTTAATTCAGGATATCCAAGAGCAATGCAAGCCTAGGCAGGGACTTCATCCAACACATCCAACGCAGTGGAGGCTGGAGGAAGTGCCCACCCCTCTGCAACTCAGTTTTTAAAGGCAAAAACCACAAGGTTACATCAGTTAGGGGTGCTAGTACAGGTACAATTCTGATTGGCTCGCTTCTAGGGACTTTCCAGAGACGTTATCTTTATCTTACTGGGTGGTTGCCCGTCACCGTTTCTCATTGGCTGCCCTCAGGTGGGGACATTCTGTGGTTAAACAATCACCATAGAGACCAGGATTGGGACATTCCATGGTCACACAGTCATCCTTAACATGATTAACTTGTTATCCTGTAAAAATGGAAGAGCTTTGGTCTCACACACATTGTGTTAGAGGTTCCCAAGATAACCCACAGGCTCATCCAGTCTTGGGACTTAAAGATGCAGAAAATCTGTGCTCATACCCGTTTATCACAGTGAAAGAACAAATATGAGCGAGCAAGTGGGCACTTGGGGCGGCTCCAGGAGAAACCAGCTCCCAGGAGTCCCTTCCAGCAGAGGCGCCATGCTCCAGCAATAACGTGACAGTTTGTGTTGGATACTGCCAACCAGAGATGCTCACCCAAGCTTTGGTGCACAGGTGCTTACATCATCATTCCAAAGGCCTCACTCTGTCACCCGGGGGTCAGCTCACACAGTCCGCCAGGGCACCAAGCGCACAGAGACAGACGTTCAATGTCCTACCAGGGCCTTAGCACACAGAGACAGACGTTCACTGTCCTACCAGGACCTTCATGGCTCAAGATCACAGGCATAGGAAACACTCAGGCAATGAAGGAAAGACCCCCCCCCCCACACACACACACACACACAGCGGAGTATCCTCCTGGGCCCCAGATTAGGCACAAAGTACTCCCAAACACCTGTTTTCACAAAGAGATCCTTTATTGAGAGGGAAGAAAAGTTAAAGTGGCCACTTTTCTGACTTGCAGCAAATGACCTTGCAGGTATCATTTTTAAGAGAGGAAGGGGAGGTCTGTGTTAGAATGGGCTAGGATATTTTGAGTGGGCGTGTTAATTGGGTGAGCCAAAGGGGGCTTTGATTTCTGGACTTCAATACTTTGATAGCTGGGCCTTGATAGTCAGCCTCAAAAGGAGGAAGTGGACAGATAAGGGACTAGACCTCGGTGACTAGCTTCAGGAATGTAATCTAATGGTTTTTAGCAAGGCAGAGGGGATGGGGAGAAGGGCTAGTGTCCCTTCGGGCAGTGTTGCCATGCCCCAAAGGTGTGTCCCAGAGACTACTCAGTTAGAAAAACAAACCACACAACATTGGAACAACACAGGCCTGCTGAGGTGAGCTGTCCCTGTGCTTATTTATGGCCATCAACAATCAGGGAACATACCCACATACTTTAGAGTCTCAAAGTTGATAAATCAAGTTTATAGATGGCTGGTGTGAATGCCATTCTCAAATCTAAAGATGTTAGGGGAAACAACGTATTTGGGGGGCTTGGGTTTCACTCATCAGCTTCCATCATCATCTACTGTTTTCATATTCGCCTTATTTTAAAAAAAAATTAATTCCAGGTTAATCCAGTGTCCTACTCCAGTCAGCTAGGACCACCAGAGAAGACCCCTGGCCTAACAATGTCATATGTATTAACTGTTGCAAGAAGGGAGCCCACATGTCGGAGGAAGCATGTAGCTAGCCTCTCTCCAAGCAAAAGGAAGATTGTAGTATAGGGCTGAGGAGAAAGGTGGAGTTTCAGTGAAAAATTTTTAATGGTGTTTTGATAGCCTCACAGCAAAATGTGGCTGTAGTTTTATATGAAGGGCAACATGTGTGAAGGAGTGAGGTGACAGAGTGAGGCTTTTGGAATGATAATGTAAGCACCAAAGCTTGGGTGAGCATCTCTGGTTGGCAGTATCCAACACGAACTATAACATCTGTAACATAGATCCAGGGTCCTTCCCCTGGTGACTCCACAGTCAGGATAGATGAAAACTATGTCTGGAAACCCGTCTGTGACTGTCGGGCTCGTGGGGCTAGAAATGGACTCTGACTCCTTCAAGGTGACTTAAGATCCTCCTTGCAAGGAAACACCCATATACTACATAGTTAGAATCTTCTCCCTCTCTAGGATGAGGGCATCTTCTTCTCTTGTTACCCTGAAACAGTTGTTCTCTAGAGGATGAAACTATAGAAACAAAGGCTTTGTGTCTGCTCCCCTCCCCCCCTCAGAGTTTTCTAAAACCTGGAAGACTGTGTGACTCGCCCCGGACATTAATTTGTTGAATAGTTTTTGTTTATTTTTCTTCAAGAGACTTGAATCTGGCCTGGGAAGATGGTTCTACATGAAGACCTGAGTTCAAATCCCAAAAGCCAAGTGAAGTTGAACACATAACATGAGCATAAGCAATCTCAGCTCCCCAGAGAGAGAAGGCAGGCAGAGAAAGAAAACTCCAGAACCTCCCAAACTAGCTAGCCTGGCCTACACAGCAGAAAACAGCAAAGAAAAACTGTCTGAAACAAGGTTGAAAACAAGGACCAATACCTGACATTTATACATGTGAATGCGCGCGCTCACACACACACACACACACACACACACACACACACACACACACACACATAAAGAGAGAGTATTGGATCTGAGGGTATGAGGTTTACAAGTCTGATAATTAGCACACACGCACACATACACAATCTTGGAGCTGAGAGTTTGACTGTGCAAGTTTAATAATTAGTACAAACACGCACATAAGGACACATAGACACACACACACACACACACACACACACACACAGCGGCAGATGCTTCTAACTTTTTCACTTCCAACTTTAGCACTGGCCTAATGGCTTTGGGGACTGGAATTTAGGTCTTTGGTTCTTTGTGTGTGCACAGGGGTAGAAAAGGGGGCTGGAGTTCTTTATGCTCAAAGCCTTGATGATTCCACAACGATTGCACCTGGTAATTGGAGGATTAATTTATGAGCTCTTCTTGCACCATTTTGTTGTGCTCAGGCCACATGAGCAGAGAATGCGACCTGGAGAGTGATTGAACTGGCTTCTATTGTAAGTTTGTGAGGAGAAATGAGATGCCTGTAGTCTGTGTCTTGACAGAGTCAGACAGCTAGAGATAATTCTGTCAAAAGGCCAAAATCATTTAATAAGATCTTATCCAAGGCATTATAGAGATAAGCAGGGCATCTCAGCATTGACATAGGAACCCGAGAGCCAGATGGACTATTTCCCAACTCTTCTCCTGCCACTTACGAATTGGTGTGGTGCCCAGCTAGCTCAGGTGAAAACTGTCATTTCGTCATTTGCAATCCAGAATGACCGGTGTAGAAGATTCTCTCCCACCCTGTCTAGGGACTGCACGATACTGATTTGTGGGTGTGGTGAGACAGGGGCAGAACTGTGTAACCCTGCCACTGATCCCTGGGTGGATGCTGCTGGCCCATCCAGGTGGTCATTCAGCAGGCCCCTCTCTGTTCTGTAATGGAGGTGATGGAGAAGCATCCTACATGTGGCCAAAGGTAGCTGTGAATGTGGCACGAGACAAAAGTTGTAAACTTATTTAAAACAAAACAAAAACACTTTGGAGCTTGATTGTGAGGCTCTTGAGCAGGAGCTCTGTGGATGACAGCATTGTGGTTCATCAGCAGGCTGGAAATGCTTGCTGGAGGACGCAAAGGAGACGTTCCCCAGTTCCTGCTGTTTGTCACCTGGGAGGGGAAGAGAAAAAGGCATATCTCCACATATGCCTCATTTTCAAGGCTCCTCTTCAGAACGTCTCTGGCTTCAGAGCCACAGGGGGACACACCTGGAACCCTGTGCTCCCATGGGAGTGATGGCAGTAGACATGCAGGGCGTGGGCGGCGCACTGCAGATGCACGAAGCATGCAGCTAAACTCAGTCCTCGGCACAAGTGTGCTGGTACTGGGTACTCCTCCGCTACAAAACCCAAGTCCCTGCCCTTGAGAGACCATCATCTGTCCCTCACAAACCCCCTCCTAGACATCTCCCACCCTCCCTGGTGAAGCTGATCACGCCTGTACAGGTACCATTTCAGCAGTATCCTACCATCCAAGACTTCATTCTCTCAAGACGGTACCCAAGAGTGGCCCTTGATCACTGTGGCCATCAGCCATGATGCTCAGACCTCTGCACATCTCCTGGCTTGGCTCTGTTGGTTCTTGTCTTTGCAAGTCTGGAGTTACTCAACTATTTTCTTGATGTTTCTTCTGTCTTACTCTCAAGTTAGTGTGTCTCACAGACCTCAACACTGTTCCCCAAGTTCTGCTTCCATGTCCAGTACATCTTGATTCTATTTCGATCAATCTGACTGCGTACAAGCCAGGGCAGTCAATCTCAGGTCCATCCTGCCACCTGAAGCCCAGCCAGCACCTGCTCCACCACCCTGCCCCTGCTTGTTAGCAATCAGAAGAGTCACTGCATCTCAGTCTCGAACACTAGGACTCCAGGTGACAGTATCCCTCTCTGCAGATACTAAAGCTAAACCAAAGAAAGAAACCATTGCACTCACCAGACGCAAGAGTTAATAAAGCTGCTATTTTCTCCGCATCGGAGAGACAAAGAGCCTCTGATTTCATGTGTTTGGTACCTTTCCATGGAGCTGGACCGTGGACAATGGGCAATGCATGTAAAAGCAGTCAGTGGGAGGGGAGGTAAGCGGTGGCCATCTGCCAGACAACCCCAAGCAAGACCCATCTTTCCAGGCACAGAGCATTCCTATGGTATCCTGTATCATTTGGGCTAAATGTATTAGGTTTCCCGTCTGTGAGTGCCAAGCAGTTGGGGTACCTTACTCTTGCTTTTCAATCCACAGAGCTGTAAGTGGAAAAGTTACAGCCACATGGTCTGGAGGGAAAGGAACAGGCCAGCTAAAATCTTTTCTTAATCCCCTAATAGCTAAGTTTCAAATGCACAGGCTGTGGGCTGAGTCTTATTCATCTTTGTGACTTAGCACAATGTGCTTAATGTGGGTTGAGTTTAATTTAAAAAAATATCTCTGAGGGCTGGAGAGATGGCTCAGCAGTTAAGAACACTGACTGCTCTTCCTGAGGATCCAGGTTCAGTTTCCAGCATCCACATGGCTGCTGACAACTGTCTGTGACTCCAGTTCCAGGGGATCTGACACTGTCTTCTGGCCTCTGTGGCTACTGCACAAATGTCATATACAGATATACATGCAGCCAAAATACCCATACAACATAAAAATAAATCAGAATTTTAAAATAAAATATAGGGCTGGAGAGATGGCTCGGCCATTAAAGGCTAGGCTCACAATCAAAATAAAATATATCCTATGTCATGGATATAGGCATGTTGCTGGACAAACTTTAATACCAAAAAGGGCTCTGTTTGCTATTAATTTTATGGTCACAACTGCTTTTAACTCAGCTGATACTTGGACTTGGAACATTTTAAATAGCGGTCTTGAGTTATAGCTATAGGTTATATAAATACTATAGGCAACTTGACTGCCACAGTAATTTCAATAAATGGTTATCTCTGATTCAAAACTCTCCTACAAATTGTCATATTTCCTACACAAGCTACCCTCTGGCTCAGGGTGTCACACAAGGCCAGCTTGAAGGAGCCCTGCATCACATGCGTGACTGATGACATTGGAGCACTGACATAAGTGTTTATGGCTGAGCACCCGACCATCACGTACCCTCCGTCTCTTGAAGAGCCATGTGTCTGTACATCCTCTGCCATGTCTTTCTCTGACTAAGACAGAGAGTAGCATTTGCCTGGGGGTATCAGCCTAAGTGTCCAGAAGGCAGCTTGCTGTCTTCCCTTTAGAGGTGACCTTCTCCCTTTAGAGGTGACCTTGAGAACAGCGGTAGGTTGCCCTAGAATCTAGCGCCTCTTAACCGTGGGTTTTTAACTGGATTTATAGTACCAGGCATGGAATCCCTGTAGGGAGCAGGTGAGAACAGGGGTGGGAGGATGAGAGTGGAAGCAATCAGAATGCAGTGTGTGTGTGTGTGTGTGTGTGTGTGTGTGTGTGTGTGTGTGTGTGTGTGTGTGTATGTGTGTGTGTGTGTGTGTGTGTAAAACTGTCAAAGACCAAATGTAATAAAAGATTATTAAAGACACTTGTAAGAGAAAAAAGTTAGCCTTCATGGTACAATTAAAATTGTAGTGAATTACAGTTCTTTAAAAAAATGCCTGTCCAGTTAGAAGCACAGATTACCATAGTTTTTAAATGAATTAGAGATTTATGTTAGCCTAGTTTGTAGGGCAACAGTTACTCCCACTTCATAATAATAAAGTAATACCCAACTTCTGCCAGCAGGTGGCAGAAGAGAGACAAAGTTGAATTGAGACCCAGGAATTACCCATAACTGGCTTTTTATAGAAAATAGTTTGTCCTTATTAAGGCAATGAAACCAGTCTTCGTATTCAAAACAAAAACATAAAGCAGTTACTAGATTTCCAAAAGAGTATTAACAGCTTAGACCTCTGCTAGGCCCAGAGGTTACCCTGGTGAACCAGGGCTGCGCTGTCCTGAGAAGCACAGCCTCATGGGAAATGGGCAGATGCTGAAGAGGCCAAGCCTGGGTTCAGGAAACTGTTAAAGGATCGTGTGAAACGTGTTACAAAGCAGGATGGCAGCTGCTCTTCTGTAATTCTTGAATATCCTTGCTTCAACCTTGTGTACACATAAGCACCTGGCTAGCAGCCCATTTCATCCCACGTTAGTCCAGTGGACAGTCCCCTTCCCTGACACACGTGCACAGACACACCCAAGCCTGGCCATTTCTCTATTCACAGCTGGACCCTCTGGGGCATTTGCTCTCCGACACCTCTGGAGAATCTTGGAGAAGTTTCTGTTTGTGCCCAGTCTGTGCTCACTCCATTGACTAGTGAGCTCTTTACTGTCTTTGTGTGTGCATGTGTGTGTACATGCATGTATGTGCATATGTATGTACATGTGTTCGTGGGTGCACATGAATGCATGTGTGTGTGTGTGTGGAGATCAGAGGACAACCTTGGCTATCATCCTTCAGGAAGGTATCCACCTCGTTTTTTGAGAGAGGACCTCTTGTTGGGACCTGGGACTCACTAATGAGGCTAAGTGGCTGGCCAGCCAGTTCCAGGAATCCACCTGTCTCTACCTCCCAAACTGGGATTCTAAACACGTGCCACTTATGCCTGGCTTTTTGACAGGCACTGGGGATCTAACATGAGTCCTTGTACGAGAGCTTAATTGACTGAGCCATTTTCCCAATCACATCCCATGTAATCTTCAACAACCCTAAAAAAAAAAAAAATTTATCTTCCTTTTACGAATAGATTTGTAAACTCATTGGGGACAAAAACTGTGTGTGTGTGTGTGTGTGTGTGTGTGTGTGTGTGTGTGTGTGTGTGTGTGTGTATGTGTCCTTTGCACACCCAAAGCCCCCAGCAGAGCCATGTAGGTATGTCTATATCAACAAACAAGATGAAAGGATATGGGACTTGAACTAACCAGTCCTGTCCCCCCCATCAACATCCGAATGCCTGTGCATCTTCACCATGGCCTGCATCCCAGGGCGTAGGCTGCCCCTCAGGAATCTTCCTTGTCTGTCGTTCCAGGATCGCAGTACCCGATCTTCCGCTGTGTGCACAGGAACACACACGACGAGGTTCCTGAGAGCTACTGTGACCCCAGCATGAAGCCGACCCCAGAAGAGGAACCCTGCAACCTCTTCCCCTGCCCAGCCTTGTAAGAGGCCTCTCTGGCTAGGTCACCTTTCCTCAGGTCACTTGGGGTTGACTGGCATAAAGTCTCAGTAGCAGATACCATTGAGTTTTTAAGCCCGTATAAATGCGGGGTATAAACACTGACTGGAACTGTGTCCAGGATACAGACCGCTTAGCAAGCCTGCCCGTGTTTCTGGAAGAAGTGGGGAGTTCATGGTCTGCAGCAAGTCGGCAAGCTTAGCCGGGAATCCCGTCCAGGAAATCAAGGGAGGCCGAAGGAATGAGAACCCAGTGAGGCAGCTCATAGGTGAGCTGACGATACAGATAGATGGTGCCAAGTCGGCCTGGAGGAGTCAGGAAGAGTGTGCAAGAGAGGCTGGAGACAGGTCATTGAGCGATAAGTGAGACTGTCTCAGATGGATTGGGACAGGTCCCAAAAGGTCAAAGCTTAATCCTTGGAGTAAAGAAAAATACAATTTTTATTCAAATATGTGCTGAACACCTGATCGTGCCTCATTCAGTAACTGTCAAGATTAGGGCATGGAAATAGTGGACAGGAAAGAATACCTAGGTGACATCTCTTAGCTCCCAAGAGGGTTAGTGTTATAAGGAAATTAAGCCAACGGGGGTCCCGGGCTATTGGGTTGATTCTGCTTTGATAACTAGACAGAAATCATCTCTACTGTCTCATTCTTTCTATGACTGCGTACAGAATCTCAGCAATCTAGCCATGGTAAACAGCATGTCCTACAGGCTCCCTTACAGTCACATGACCTTTAGGCACTGCTCTAGGGAGAGGGCCCCCACTGGTTTTTCTATGTATTCCTGTTAACGGATCGTCTCCCCTCTCCCCTCCCCCCCATCCACTCCATGAGCCAGCTGGGACATCGGGGAGTGGTCCGAGTGCAGCAAAACCTGTGGCCTGGGCATGCAGCACCGCCAGGTCCTGTGCCGCCAGGTGTATGCCAACCGCAGCCTGACGGTGCAGCCCTACCGATGCCAGCACCTGGAGAAGCCTGAGACCACCAGCACCTGCCAGCTCAAGATCTGCAGCGAGTGGCAGATTCGGACCGACTGGACCTCGGTACAGGACCTCCCTCTCCCTCCGATACCCACCACCACACTCCCTCCCACCTCCCGCTGCTAGGACCCGTGGTGGGTAGGGTGGGGGAATGTTTGCTGGGCAGCCTGACTGCAAACACCAACAGCTCAGTAGAGTTCAGGCTAGTGTGCGTGGCCCATATCCAGGCTCGTGGGTGAGCCCTAGGGGAGTGCGTCCTGTACCTGCAGACTTCACCTGCCCTGTGTCTCCCATGTGCTAAGAGAAGGTCGGCAGCCACTAGTAAAGTCGGCACCTTCTTGTGTGGTAGTGCATGCATCCTGGAGATGGAAAGCCTGGGGCCCTGAGCAGGCCAGTAAACAAGATGCCATCCAAGAGGGTTCTTAGAGGAACCGGCCAGGGCGTCTTCCCTTGATCATTTCCTCCCCGGGGACTTACAGGCACCGCAGGGGACCCAACAGACAGGGTCCTTCTCGCCTCATCTGTTGAGGGTCGGGTGACAAAGACTGAGGACAGGATACCAAGGCGTGCGTGCTGTGTTTTAGTGCTCGGTGCCCTGTGGCGTGGGGCAGCGGACCCGGGATGTGAAGTGTGTGAGCAACATCGGGGACGTGGTGCATGACGAGGAGTGCAACATGAAGCTGCGCCCCAGTGACATCGAGAACTGTGACATGGGGCCCTGCGCCAAGAGCTGGTTCCTCACGGAATGGAGTGAGAGGGTGAGTGTGCCGCTGGCAGGCACCGGCTGCGTCCCCGGGGACTCCCAGAGCCGCCCGGGGACACGCTGGCAGCTCAGAATCCCCAAGCTGATTCCTTCCCCGGTGAGACCTCGAGAATGTCTCGCGTGCCCTCGTAAGATTCCAGCGGCAAACCAAAGCTCCAAAGCTCCCCCGGGGAGACTCAAGGGTTTGTTGGGCTTTCTTCAGAGCGTGGCCAAGGGATGGCCTGCAGGAGTCTAGGTGATCCCGGCACAGCAGTGTTGGAGGGATGCGCGGCAGCTTCCGCAAAGGCTGCATAGCTGGATCCCCTTGGATTGCTGTGAAGAGACACCATGACCACAACGACTCTTATAAAAGAAAGCATTTAGTTGGGACTTGCTCACAGTTTCGGAGGTTCAGTCCATTGTCATCATGGCGGCATGCAGGCTGACATGGTGCTAGAGAAATTGAGAGATCTACCTCCAGATTGGATCCACAGGCAGCAGGAAGACGAGACATTGGGCCTGACTGGAGCATTTGAAACCCCAAAGCCCACCCCTAGAGAAATTCTTCCTCCAACAAGGCCACACCTCCTCCTAATCCCTGTCAAGTAGTGCCACTCCCTAATGACCAAACATTCAAATACAGGAGCCTCTGGGGGCCATTCCTATTCAAACGCCACAGTTACTTACCACCACCACCACCCCCGCCCGCCCCTGTCTGTATGCTCAGAGGTTCCTAGGCCCTGTGCGGTTAGAGAAGAATTGCACTCTAGTGGCCGAAACCTTAAGTGACAGTCCGGTGGCCCTCCCCACCCATCCCTCTCTGAGGGGTGTCAACACTCCCCAGGTCCAATCGTGATTCACTCTCACAGGCAGGCTCAGCTGAGCTGATAAAGATGGCAGCTGTTTTGCTCAGAGGACCACCGGCTGCTACGCCTAGCTTTGGCAAAAGGCCAGGGATGGATCACTGTAGGTTTATAGGCTCCTATGAGGACCAAGGGGCTCTGCCGTTAAGGAAGGGGTGTGAAAAAATTAGCTTCCTTCTCCTCAGTGTTCCATAGATTAGGAGAGGACCACGTAGATGTTGTGCCTGGAATATGGTAGGCATGCAGTGGATTGTAGGCACCTTCCCTGTTTTTTTAGCAGCTAGAAGCATGTTCCATGCTGTCCCCTATCCCGGAAGCCTAGCCTTTCTCAGAGCCTAGCCATTAAAGAAAACCCAAAGGCAAATGCAACCAACTGTCACGCCACTCATTACTACATGCAAGAGAAGCCAGCAGTCAGTTGACTCCATCTATCAGAGACCAAAACAGAACCAAGAGCAGATCTGTGCAGCTGAGGCCCTGCTGTGTGAGGGGGTACCCTGTCTTCCCCCGTTTCTGCTGACAGGCTTCCTAGCCTTGGGGAGCTCCTTCCAGATCTAAATCTGCCATGCTTTTCCTAGCCACTGGCATAATAGAGTGCAGTTCCTTCTTCAGGCCCATCATCCTGGTCCTCTCACTGGGCCCTGGCTCCATCTTTGACCAACTAAGCACCTAGGAGATTTGGAGACCCCCCACCTGCCCCAGGGGCATGTACAACCTAAGTGTGGAAAGCAAGTTCAGTCCATTTGTCAGGTGGGAATGTGTAGTATTATGTAGGGAGAAATGTTTGTAGAAGTTGAGCAGAGATAAATAATGTTTGGGTTACTTTTTGAAGATTTTTTTTATTATTTTCTCGTGTGTGTGTGTGTGTGTGTGTGTGTGTGTGTGTGTGTGTGTGTGTGTGTGTATTGGTGTCATGTGTATTCAGGTGGCCACAGAGGACAGAAGAGGGTGTCAGATCCCATGAGTCTAGAGTTCCATGCAGCTGTGACCTGCTCAGTGAGGGTGCTGGAACCAAACTTGGGTTCTCTGCAAAAGCATTGAGCACTCAGGGTTGGTTTGGGGGTGGGGGGCGGTGTTAGTTTTTTGGGTTTGTTTGTTTGTTTTGTTTTTGGTGTTTTGATACAGTATCTATGTAGCCCAGGCTGGCCTAGAACTCACTGTGTAGACTAGGCCTGCCTCTACCTCCCAAATGTTTGGATCAAAGATTTGTGCCACCACGCCCAGCTGGCAAGCACTAGGAACAGCCCAGCCATCTCACCTTTGAGTTACTTCTTATTCTTTCCAAGAGATTTTAAGCACCTTGAGTTGCGCAGTTGTGAACTTCAGACCACACATGGCTAGAACAAAAATGTCTCCAGACTGGATTATTCTAGTTACTGTTAACAAATGGCTTTTTTAACCCAAGGAGTTGATTCATTGTCTCAGACTTCTCACAATGATATAAACAGAGCTGAAGTCATAAAGACAGTGTGTGACCCTTGGTGGAGGGGGGACTCCCTCTACCCTTAGGTTCTCTGGCTTCAGCCTGTAATTGAACTAACAAAAGTTTAACCAGGTCAGCGGTTCTCAACCTTCCTGATGCTGGGACTCTTTGCTACAGTCCCTCGTGGTGTGGTGACCCCAACCATAAAGTTATTTTCCTTGCTATTTTGCAACTGTAATTTTTCTACTGTTGTTAATCACAATGTAAACATCTGTGTTTCCCATTGGTCTTAGGTGACCCCTGTGAAAGGGAGGTTCAACCCCAAGGGATCATGACCCACAAGTTGAGAACCGTAGCACTAGAGAAACATATTTTAATTTTTTTGTTTGTTTGGATTTTTGTTTTTGTTTTTTGTTTTTTGAGACAGGGTTTCTCCATGTAGTTTTGGTTCCTGTCCTGGATCTCACTCTGTAGACCAGGCTGGCCTCAAACTCACAGACATCCACGTGGCTCTGCCTCCTGAGTGCTGGGATTAAAGGCGTGCACCACAGCCACCCGGCAACATATTTTAATTTGATGTTAATATTTTCCGTGGTGAAGGGAACTTCGTAGGAAAGAAGTAAAGGCCACAAGAAAAGGAGCTTGTCTGGAGGGGTTGTGTTCTGCTCTGACAAGGAGGAAAGATACACAGAAGTAACTAGATATGGGAAAGCGTTTGACCATCAAGGGATGGTGAGTTCGGAGAGTGACAGAGACATGGGAGAAGTGACAGGGGAAAGATCATTCAGTTAATCATCTCACAGCCAACCCCCACCTCCACAGATAAGAATGTTCTCTTCGCTCTAGCAAGCCTAGCATTAGAGGGATGGATCCCAGGAGCTCATTGGTCAGCCAGTGTAGCTAAACTGGTGAGCTCCGGGTTCAGTGAGAGACCCTGCCTCAAAAAATAAGGTGGAGAACAATTGAGGAAGACACCCAACATGAACTTCTGGTTCCCACCTACACACATACAGCGTGTGTGTGTGTGTGTGTGTGTGTGTGTGTGTGTGTGTGTGTGTATACACACAATTGTTAAGCAATTTTAGAAACAAAGGAAGGAATGGGATGGAGAATACCGTGTGACTTACAAAGCTTCAAAGAGTGTGTTAAAGGGGCAAGCAAGGATGTTTTACAGAGGGAAGGGCATTTGAACCCAGCCCTCAAGGGTTCTGGTGTTTCCTGGTAAAGGGAAGGGCATCCAGGAAGAGGGGACATGCGCAAGGGCTCTCATAGCCTCTCATGTGATGGGGGACTGCCACCATGCAGACTCTCTCCAGAATGGGGTATGGGGTGAAATACTGGAACATAAGTCTAGAAGAATGGGTTGGTTGGGACCACTTACAATTGATGAATTGTTTCTGGAATTTCCCATATAACTCGTACAAACTGCATTTGACCATGAGTAACTAAACTATAGAAGGCAAAAGTAATAGGTAAGGCAGAGTTTTCCTGTCACTGAAGTACGTCATGTGTGAGAGAGGAAAGCATTTGAGGGGCAGTAAGACCTTGGCATCCTTTGCAAGTGTCCCCAGAACCTGCAGGGACCCCACTAATATGCCCTCCTTCTGACTTACAGTGCTCGGCCGAGTGTGGGGCTGGGGTGAGGACTCGTTCGGTGGTGTGCATGACCAACCATGTCAGCAGCCTGCCTCTGGAAGGCTGCGGGAACAACAGGCCGGCCGAGACCACGCCCTGTGATAACGGGCCCTGCACGGGCAAGGTGGAGTGGTTCGCTGGCAGCTGGAGTCAGGTGAGTGGCCAGAGCTGGGTACATCTGTGTGTCCCCCAGAGTCAGGTGAGTGGCCAG